GTAGAGGACAAAACTCCTGAGCTAACTCAGGCAGTTACAGAGTCATAAAAAAAGAGAGAGAAAGTAGAACACTCACTGACAGAATTATGGGACTTCATGGAGCATTCAAACATATGAGTTATAGGTATCCCAGAAGGTGAAGAAGCACACCCCAGAGGAATGGAAGCCCTACTAGAGGATATCCACTTCTTATTAACCACATGACCTTGGACATATGTTATTCAATCTCTCCTAAGTCTCAGCTTTCTTTCTTGGGTGTAATAAAACCCTACTCATAAGTGTACAGAACTGTGCATGCATGAGATAATGCATAAAAGTCTCTTAGCATAGTTTTGGCTCATTGTAAACATACAATAAATGGTAATTACTGCTTAATATTATTCTATAATATAGAAAAGAATTCCTCAACCCTGGCACACTCAATACTTTGAACAGGGTATTTCTTTGTTTGGGCTACCCTGGGCATTGTAGGGTGTTTACTGGCATCCCTGGTGGTTAGCCAACAGAAGCCAGTAGCATTCCCAACTCCACCCAGTTGTGATAACCAAAATATCTTCAGCATTGACAAATGTTCCTTAGAAGACAAAACTGCCCCTGGTTGAGAACTACAGGTACTGAGCAAAGAGCTGTGGTCCTAGAAACACCTGGCTTCTATGAACTAATATGTGATATTAGGTGACTCTTCTCACTTCTCTGGGCCTTGGTTTTCATACATGATAAGACAGGGCTGGAAATTCCTGCTTTATCTTTCATGGTTTTCAAGAGGATGAAATGAGAGAAGAAAACCCTAACGCAATGAAGAAGTTATGAAAGTAGGATTCTGTTATGACTGCCTTGGTGGTTGGCGGTAGGCTATTGGAGGCAGCTACGAGAAGCTCAGCAGCTTCTTGCTGATCACGTGTCATGGCTTCCCTGTCCCTTTAGTGGATATATTTATGGTTTGGCTCAAAAAATTCAAGAGTAACTATTTTCTTTCTAAATAAAAATTTTCTTTTTAAAAAAATTCAAAGTAGTAAAACTGCCTTGTTATCTCTAAATTTACCTTTCATCTAAATTTGTCTTTCAGATGATTTGAATTAATCAGTCCTTAGAATTTTAACTTTGACTTCTGCAGATATATTCAGGAAAAAATATTCTCTGGGTTTTCAATATCACTATACTGATTAACATGATACTGAGTAATATTAGGATAGACTCCTTCATCAGCAAGGGAACAATTTTTGATGTCATATCCTAAGATGGGAATCAGCCTGGTGGAGTTTGAGTCTGTTGCTGCTCTTATAAATATTTCTGGAAAAAACTTTCAATGAGAGACAGCATAGTGTCAGGTAAAACAACATGAGCTGAGAGTGTGGTCAGAGGAGAATTCAAGGTCCACCCACATCAGTGGCTGGGATGTGATTTAGACAAGTCTTTTAGCCCTCCTGACCTTCAGTGAAGCAAGTATGTTAGAACACCTACCCTGAGGCATAGTTATGAGTTTTAAGTGGAGATGAACATCTTGTAGGCACATGGTAGGTGTTGTGTAGATGTAAAGGATCACTTTCTTTCTACGCAGCCTGAAAGACATTTCAAGGGTTTCTTTTATTCCTCTGAGTGTGAGGGTGCCAGGATGGCTCAGCAAGGCCATTGACATGAAAATCAATACTTTATATATGATTTGTAAACTTCACTAAACTAATTGTAGTAGAGCTTAATCCTTGCCTCAGATTATTAGCATACCCTCTAGTTTATGGGAACATTACCTCTCTACTTCTATGGGCATTAGTTGGAAATTAAGGGTCAGAAGTCACCTAAAGAACAACGCCATCTATACAGGATAGAGGGAACAAAGCATTTATTCCTTAAAACAATTCATTTGGTCTCATTAAGGGTACCACCCTTAATATCCTGAGACAGCACAGAAGAATAGCAGAAAGATGATCTTGAACTAAACAGACCTGCCATTTACAACCTGGGTGACCCTGGGGCTTTCTAAGCCTCAGCTTCTTTCTCATTATAAATAGGGTTAATAACACCTGTCGCAGTATGAGGATGAACATAAATCAAACACATGAAAACCCTTATCACTATGCCAGCACACCAAATACTACCAAAGGTTCTCGGTAGTTCTGCTTTTATCCTTGGCTTTCTTGCAGGTCATCATATCTTACCTTGATTATAAATCTGAAGTTTAGTTTTTTTCCCTTCTTATGAATGTTGACTACAACATGTAGGGGAAAAGTCATAAATCATTAAGCACAAACCATTTAAAAAATACAGAATAATTTTCTTTTAAGTTATCAGTAATGGCTCTGCAAAAGTTTATTTCAGGCTGGGCACTGTGGCTCATGCCTATAATCCTAGCACTTAGGAGGCCGAGCTCCTGAGTTTGAGACCTGAGTCTGAGTAAGATCATGACCTCATCTCTACCAAATATAGAAAAATTAGCCAGGTGTTGTACAGGTGCCTGTAGTCCCAGTTTCTTGGGAGGCTGAGACATAAGAATCACTTGAGCCCAAGAGTTTGAGGTTGCTGTGAGCTGTGGTGCCATGGCACTCTATCCAGGGTGACAGAACAAGACTCTATCTCAAAAAAACCCCAAATCCCACTTTATCTTATAATTTCTTCTTTATCCTGCATATAAAGCCAAGCAACACAAAATAGGTAAGGTCATGGAATGTTCAACCATCCATAAAACCATTTTTAATATAGGACACTATGATAACAGGCCATAGGTAATAATAAAATTATATGAGTAATCAAATTTTCAACACCAAGATTCTTTTCTTGTGGAGTCTTCGTATGTTTTAGCTCTTCCTCTTCTTTGCCCCACAGCATTTTGTTAACTTCTGTTGCATCACACCTTCTGCACTGTGACTCAGACTCAGAAATCACATTTTATTCCCCTTTTAACCTTCTTACTCCAAACTGGGCTCTCAAACAATATATGCTGAGCTGCAAGCAAGCACCCCTCTTACATGTACTAACTATATGCAGCGATTGTAACAATTTTCTTTATATACTGACTATATAATTATTATAATAGGTAATGTTTACTACACACTGTTGTGCTTAGGTATGACAGGACTCTCACAGTGGCCGTGTGCATGCATCGTTACTGTCTCCATTTACTGATGAGAAAAGTAAGATTAAAGGGGCCTGAGGACACACTCAGGGACTTAAACATGAGAACTGATAAATTGCCTTTACTACAAACTCGATATTAATTGTTTACCTATTGCTGCCTGTAAACACATTCATTTTGTTCTCTTTTAGAAGACAGAGTATACTTAGTGGAAAGGGCCAGCAGATTTGGGAATCTACCCTGAGTTCTTATCATGACTCAGCTACTGATAGCTGGGTGTTCTTGGGCAAAGCCTCAGTTTCCCTATCCTTAAAATGGGATCATGGGGCTGGATATGAAGATTGAATGAGGTGACAGAGACAGGCATTTTGAATGAGATCTGGCACAGAGGAGTACTCCAGGCTGCTGAGCCTGGCATCAAGCCTGATGCTAGCTTCAGCTGTCTTAAACTAACATTTCCTTTTCTTTCTCCCATCAACCAGGTAAATTCCTCTTCCATGCAGTTCTCATGGCTGACATTTCCAATGTCTATCACATCCCAGACCTTGACCCTGCAATTCCATCTGCTATTTAACTGCCTCCTCAATCTCTCTCTTTGGATTTCTAGAAGGCTGCTCACTCTCAGCATGGGCAGACATACTCCCAATCCCAGGTCCCACCAAGCTTGCTTTCTTTTCATCTTTTTTATGTCAGCATGAGGCAATCTCATCGAGAGGTTCTGCAGCTACATGCCTCACATTTGATCCACGGGTGAGCCCTATCATCTCCAGTTTCAAAATACATTCAGAACTTGCCTCCTTGTCATGCCTTCCTCCAAGCCCCCTCCTGCCAAGGCCTCTTGGTCTCTCCCCTGGGTCATCCTAGCTGCCTCCCAAGTGGTCTCCTTGCGTCTGCTTCCACATCCTTCCTGCAGTCTAGTCTCAGTCTAGCAGCTGGAGTGACACTTTAGACATGTCAGTTACATCATGTCACCGGTCTGTTCAAAACACTCTAACACTTCTCCAACTTGTTCTGGGTAAAAGATTAAATCCTGCAATGGCCTACAGAGCCCTACATGACGGGGTTCTGCTGCTTTTCTGATCTAATCTCTCCCCTCCTCACTCTGCTCTAGCGCCAGTGGCTCCTGCTCCTTTGTGGGTGTGTTATGCCTTCTCCTTCTTCAGTCCCTGCACCCAGATGAGTAAGTACTTAGCATGTAGTGGGCATTCAACAAATGATGTTGGGTGAATGGCTTGGCTAATCATCCAGCAAAAGACCTGTGTGACATGAGTGCCCTGTTGCTTCTTATTGGTCCCCTACCCCTACTGTGACCTCTGGCAGTGACATCCTGCGTCTACCACTATGTCTAAAAGACCCACTTGACATTACCTAGGAGAACTAGGGTCAGTAAGATGAATCAGTTCTGAAAAAGCGTCAAACTCCGGGTTTCACCAACATTTTCATTCTCTTTTTCCTACCCTCCCAACATTCTCTAGAAAAAAGAACAAACTGACTCAGGAATTCCATTTTCTTCCTAGACACCTTATACACTTCTTCTGCAGTACAGATGGATGCAGTTTACCCACTAGCTGCCCTGGATGACTGATGGCTGCAGATTCATCCTGCAGTTCTTTTCCTGCTAAAAGAGTATAGGTGGACACGAACCATAATGGATAGTCTCCTCCTCTAAGGAAGGACCATGATGTACTGTCTCATGGGCACTCCAGCACTGGGCCATAGGAATAAAAGCAGTCTACTCCTTAACAGTCTGTGTTGGCACTTTACATAGTGTTTTGTGTAGAAATAGCAAGGGTCATCCACCCTAGAAATGCTCTGTGATCACAGGAACACTATCAATCTTCTTTGCCCCTTACAGCATTCTCCTAAGTAAAGGGGATGGGGTAGGGATCTTTTCAAGGTAAATGAACACATGAGGAAAATTACTTCTATTTACCACATGCTGGGATGTCACACAGATCAGACTTAAAGTTTTCATCCAAGGTGAAGCACCAGGGAGCTTCCTTCTGATTTCCTGGGTTGCGGCAGTAGGAATGGCCTCCATTCAGCTCTGGGAAATGGATGGCAGTGAAGGTGTGTGTGTGAGGATACTGGGAATTCCACGGCTGGCACTGTCGCCCTGATTTGGTCACACTGACGGTCCCTCGGTAGTCCACACCTGTGTTGTTATAGCACTTGTGATCTGAAAAACACAAACAAAAAGCCTAGACTGTTAAAAGAAAGAGAGAAGAAGCTGGAGCTCTAGCTGGCAGTTTCTGAAGGGAGGTGGGGAGAGGTGATTAACTCTGTGGCCAAGGCTTCCCTGCTGCTCAGGGGTCATAAAGGGCAGTTTCCCTGATTACTGGGCTTGGACTAAAGGTCTGCCTTGCAGTAACATTCCTGGGAGGATTTAAAGGTTATGTTTAAGGAGGAAAAAATGTTTTCTGCAAGTACTTTTAACACTGAACACAGAAGAAATCAAAACTAGGGGGCACAGGAGTAATTTCCTAGTGAATGGTCCAAGGAAGGTTCAAGCCAAACTCTTGCATCTTCTCCAGCTGATAGCCTTAGGCACAAATCGTGTGATGAATACTCTAGTTCGTAATTCATAGCCAATGCCTATGAGGGGCTAGGCTCTCTGGACTTCTACTAGGAATCAGGGCTGTCTTTGCTCTGATGCTGTGGGCACCCTTGAGAAGCAGGCCCATCATTGCTTCAAGGGCTGCAGCTCAAAAACACTGCAAGGAAGCTTATAAGTTGAATTGGAGGAGTCTAGGGGGTAACGATAATGATAATACTGATGCTACTGAGCACCTACCATGCACTAAGCACAGTTTTAAGCATCTCTGGTACATCAATTTATTTAACAAATAAAATAGTATTAACTACCAAAAGGAAACCAAAAACTTGCTAGTAAGATTAATTCTTGATGAAAGGGAAACGTACAGAAGAATAGTCTTTTGCTTGGCAGTGTGAGTGTCTAGAGGATAGTGGCAAACTGAGGTATTTATGAGACTGTGCTGCAATACACACCCTGTAAAATCACCATTCAGCATTTAATAGCACATTCGCAATGCTGCACCACCTTCGCCACTATTACGGTTTTGAATATTTATGTCACCCCAAAAGCAAACCCAGTGGATATGGGGTTTGCTTTTGGGGTGACATAAGGAAAGGAAATGACTGATTTCCTTTCTGTCTCTCTGGATCTGCCTGTTTGGACGTTCCACACAAGTAGAATCATAATGGCCTCTGGCTTCCTTCATCCAGTATGTTTTCAAGGTTCATCAGGCTACAGCATCTATCTGTATGTATTTCCTTCCTTTTTTAGGGATAAATAACATTTCATTGTATAGCTATGCCATAATTTATTTAGCATTTATCCAGTGACAGACGTTTGGACTGCTTCCACCTTTGGGCTACTGTAAATAGTGTTGTTTTGAACCAGGCGTCCTCAAACTATGGCCCATGGGCCATATGCGGTCCGCCTAGGACATTTATCCTGTCGGCCAGGTGTTTTTGCCGCTGCTGCCTGTCCTACTTAGCAGCCAGCTCATCCCAGGGCCCACAGTCTAGCCCTTCAAAGGTCTGAGGGACGGTGAACTGGCCTCCTGTTTAAAAAGTTTGAGGACCCCTATATAAACATTTTTCTTGGAGTTTTTGTTTGAACACATGTTTTCCGTTCTTTTAATTCAGTTCTCAGGAGGAGAACTTCTAGGTTACACAGTAATTCTATGTTTAAGTTTTTGAGAAACCAACCCCACACGGCTTGAAGAGAACCACACAAAATCCGCCACCCATGCCCAGACACAGGTACTCCCCTCCCCCTGAAAGGTGATCTGATTGACAGTGGAACAATTGCTGTGGGTCAAGGTCTGGTGTTCGATGTGCCATGAGCTTGGTGGCCCTTGGAACAGCACAGAAGGTCGAGGTTACTATTTACTCTTTAAACACTTTTAATGGCAACCCATTCTGGTAATGGCAACCACTCACTTTTATTTATAGGATCTGCCATGGGGATTCCTATCCGGATACAGTTCGCAGCCTCTGGACTCTCTGGCTGTGGGAGATCATCACAGTTGGGCAATTTCAGCCTCATCAGAATCATGGGATTTGATCTTGCAAAAATGTATTCCGTTTGACACAGGACATTTTCTAGGATTTCACATTCATCGCGACACAAGTCTCGGGGCTTTGGGGCAGATGAGGAGTCGTCACAGTATGGGAAGGCATAGTGGCACAGTGAAGGGATGGCAAACTGGGAGCACTTATCCGATAAGTGACTAGACGTGCCGATCATGGTGAAAGCAGCTGAAAAACAAACACAGTTACTGACTTCCAGAGGCCAGGGCTTATCTCCTCTGGTTATCTGTCAATAGACATCAGATATAAATACACATGGGGAAGAATCTGCTGTGCTGAGGCAGAGAAGGCCAAGAGAAGGAGATTCATTTCGTCTAAGTCGCTTACTTTCGCTGGCTTGAAAAAAATCATTTTGACTACAAAGTCAAAGAAACAGGATTAAATTACATATGTACCATTTCCTAAAAATTAATTAGGTTAAAGTACAATATATTTTTCATTTTTTATTGCAAGCAATAGAGCTTCATGTCTCATCTGGTATTTTTTATTACTTTTGTGAAGCTTCCAATACATTTGACAGCTGTGGGGCAGAACTTGCTTTATTGGGTGGCAGAGGCTGAGCGTGGGATTTAGTTCTATGTCTTGCCAGGTGGCAAGAGTGCCTGCAGGACTTTGGGTAATTTGCTTAATTTCTTTGTGGCCTGAATACTTTCTACTCCATCTTCTGAAAATGAGGCAATTCACCTGGAGGGTCTCAGAGAGCACCACACAATTGTTCCAGGGTGTGTCATGGAATACTAGTGGTCCTGAGCTTCCCTCTTGCCTGGTGGGCTGTCACGCAGAGAGAGCACCAGCCCACCTTGATGCCTCTCTCTACTGACAAGGAGATCACACCTCCCCAGGAGCCTGTGAAGTTGTTTATACACTGCTTTACAAAGACGTTTCTTAGAACATTAAACTGTGGAATATCAATAGTGTTTGAGAAACTAGGATTTCAAACATAGTCAAACAAATTTGGGAAATTCTGGATTAAACTAAGTTAAAGGGATCTTAAAAAAATAAAGCTGTACACTTTCCAGTAAGATGACGCTCACTGAAAACCTCCAGGAGAGAATTACTATAAATAGGTTACCAAATAATATGTATGTCAAAATTCCCATTTATTTTTGTAAGGACTTAGTTAAAAGTATATCAAAACCTTCTTATCATAGGTCAAACGTTAGGTAAAAATGTGTCTCTAACAGATGCTCCCTATCTGTCTGCCTTCCAGTCTTGGGAATTTCAGAGTCCCCTTCCTCTTGAAAGCTTTGGCAAACGGCCACTGCATCTTTCTAGTGTGGCTTCTCTTGATTACATTCATCCCTCCACTCCAGGCCTTCTCACTCCTTCACATTCCTCACAGGACACAAGTTCTGGGCTTTTTTGCCGTTCTTTGTTCCTGACTTGGGTTTGTTCTGGCCTCTCCTAAATCCTAGGGTTGCCAGACAAATTATAAGCCAACAGCTACATTTGAACTTCAGTAAAATTTGGGACACAATTATACAAAACAATAATCTGTTGTTTATCTGAAGTTCAAATGTGGTAGCAAGTTTATTAGAATCTCAAGAACACAGTTTGAATGGACTGCACAGAGGCCTGATAACCACACCAATGGGAGTGGGCACCGGGCTGCAGCAGCCACCAGATCTAGGTGTGCAGAATCACCTGAGGTGGCCTATACTCCCCAACTTGTGTGCTAGAAAGCGCTTCACTATTAGATTTTCATGAAAAGGATACTTTTAATTAAGAAAAATGAAGGGTAAAGTACTGAAAGGTAAAGCAGAATGAGACCTTATTTCATCACTCATGTCATAAGTAAAGAAAGAGATTTTCCTGGAGGGTGAGCTATTTCCCCAAAGTCACCATAATGACAGCCCTGGGATGAGTGTCCAGAATTCTAAACTCTAAATTTATTCTTTTCAGTCTGCAACAGGTTGTTTCTAAACAGTAAGCTCTGTGAGGGCAGAGACATACTTACATAGTCACTTACCACACCTCACCTCCACAGTTTCTGGCATGCTGAAAGCACTCAATACTATTTATTGAGTGTTTGAATGAATGTGAGACTTTCCAAAGCTTCCTCTTCCTCTAAGAGCAACCTTCTATAAATTATTTTAATGTAAATTCCAGAGCACAGAGATCATGTCTCCTGCTTCTTTATGGTCCCAATCCTAGTTTCGATGCCCAGCCTAAACACTCTGTGGAGAGAGAAGCTCAATAAAGCTTTTGGTGAGAAAAATAGTTATTCAAGGGATAAATATAATTTCATTGGTGTGACTTACCTGTGATCTGATTTTCTATTTCCCCTTGCATGTGCAAAGACTCCATATAGACGGTGCGGTTGCCAATAAACCTCGCACATGCGATCCCTCTGTATGGCTGGCAGAATCCATCTTCTTCGTACTCTTCTCTAAAAATCAGAGCACAGGCCCAAGTTGAGGCAGTGTGTCCAAACAGCACAAGTCTCTGATGGCGCAATGCCTAAATAGTCACCAGGGGGCGAGTCAGGCACAGTATACCAACCACCCAGCTAAGGAATTGGGCTTTTGCTCTACTCTTAAAAGATTGCTTACAACATCTGTTGGTCACGTTGGTCAAGTTTCCCACACTTCCAGAAAATCATCCTCAAGCACAAAATCATCCTTAAATATGGGAGAAAATGCTTTTATTTTCCCAGCTGGTGGTGGGCTGGAAGATGATGAAGTTACAAGACCAGAGAGGAAATGAGTTGCAAATCTGGGCACATGTTGTATGGATTTTTGTTTTTTAAGTACAAATTATTTCTGTTTCATTTGCTACAAAGGCGTGGGCACATTAGCCACAAGATCCACTCTAAATAACACGTCAATTTGGGGGCTCCCTTGAGTAAGAAACAGGGTACAGCTGGACGCAGCCAGAGGGCAGCCCAGTCACTCTTCACTGCATGGAGTCCTTTCTCTCTAGGCCGCATGGCCAGGGCCAGGGCAGACTGTGAGCAGGGGAGTTCAAAATCAGTCACTAAATCCAGAGAAATCTAGATAATGTCCATGGAGATTTTGCTTTCACAGTCTGCTAAAATTTTAAGAAACAGTCTTATTAAAATGCTGCTGCTTCAAAATTAAACTCCAAAAAGGGGCTGCTAGTAGATTTTATAAGATAGAGGGATACCAGAAAGTGACATGATCAGTAAATGGGGTAAGGCTGGAGGTTAGGACCCATGATGGTAGGTTCAACTTGAAAGGACAGAGGCCATAACCTCCCCCAAGGGCTTAGGATAAGCAACAGATGCTTAAGTATGGGGCAGCCCGCTTCTTCTCAAAGGCAGACCCCAGCCAGTATAGCCAAAGGCTGCCTGCCCTGTGAATGGGCTGACTTCTATCCTGGGTGCCCCTCCTTAACACCTAATCTCTATGGTTTCTTCTAAGTTAAAATACAAGGCTTACAGCACAAGTCAGGAGAACAAAGTTCTCTTCCTGAGATTAACATTTGGACATCAGTAGGCAACTGTGTGAGCCCTCTGAGCCATGGTTTTGTGATTAACAAGATGGACATGATAATCGACTTCTCCATCCTACAAGTGAAAAGTCATGACAATCCTATCATACAATGTCAAAAGCTTTTCAAATTCTAGAGGTGTAAGATACAATTATTTGCTAGGCTCAGTGGCTCAAACCTGTAATCCCAGTTCTCAGGGAAGCTGAGGTGGGTGGATTGCCTGAGCTCAGGAGTTTGAGACTAGCCTGAGCAAGAGTAAGACACCATCTTTAAAACCAGCTGGGCCCTGTGGTGGGCGCCTGTAATCCCAACTGCTCAGGAGGCTGAGGCAAGAGGATCACTTAAGCCCAGGAGTTTGAGATTGCTGTGAGGTAACCTACAATGCCACGGCACTCTATCCAGGAGAAAAAGGAAAATAAAACCATGTAATTACACTTAAAGTGTCTTTAAGAATAAAAAATAAATTATTCTTAAAGTACCAAAGAAGACATTTACTTGTACAACAGACTGTGGTTGGTACTGTGGAACTGTCCTCCTCACTTTGGGAATTGGTGTAGTTTAGGACTGGAACACCCAGTAGCACACTGTGTGTAAAGGAATCTGCCACTTTCTTTGTTTTGCAGTTTTTGGTTGGGGCCGAGTTTGAACCTCCCACCTCCGATATATGGGGCCAGCACCCTACTCCTTTGAACCACAGGCACCACCCAAGGAATCTGCCACTTTCTACTCCTCATTAATTAAAATAGTCATTTTGAAGGTGAAGATAGGGGAAGTATCTTCGATTTAGTCCCCAAAATAGTTTGTATTATGAAGTTGTTCAAAATATAACCTTTAAGTACACATACAAATGAATATATCATATGCCTGACATAAAGAAATTGAAATTTTAATGTTGCACAGTCCTGCTAGCACTCCACATGTTTACTTTCATAAATCCTAGAGTAATGCTGAAGCCTTTTTGGCTTAAATTTTACTTGGGTTGTAAAATTAACCCAACTTTTATTGGGTAACTAATACCATAAACCTATGGGGAGAAAGAAGGTTTTCGATGACCTCTCCTTGGATCTCGGAAACGTTAAGTGCAGAGACCAGAATACACCCCAGGCCAACCACTGCTATTACAGATGATGCTTTTCTGTATGTGGGCATTAGCAGAGCCCTGGGTTTTTAAGGCATCATTATGAGAGCACATTGCTTGCTCCCTCATTAAATTCTCAAGGCCTCAATTTATATCTCTTGGGAGGACAAAACCCTGGAATTACCTCAGATCTAAATCCTTGACCTTCTGGGAGTGCCCATATTTTATGTGTGAGGCTTAGGCTAAACTTCTTACCACCTTTCCAGCTCAAGACTCTTAAAAAGATTTTTTGAATCCTTTTCCTCAGAATAAAATGGAATGCAATTTCTCAGCCACACATTTCTTATCAAGGGCTTAGAGCTGCAGGTGTATTGAATTTTTGACTATCCTTACAATTCCTGCTATTCTGGCCAGTCTCTGTTAAAAAACTAAAGAAAACCAAATCCCATACCAGTAGGCACCATCCCCTGTCGGGAGCAGTTCTCAGCCCTGGCTGTGTCTCAGAACCTCCTCAGGATTTTAGAAATACCAGTGTCCAGGCCCCACCTCAGACCTATTAAGTTATACTCTCTGGAGATGGGGCTTAGGTACTTGTGCTTTAAAAAAAAATTACCAGGTAATTTGAAGTGTTTGAGAACCACAGCACTAAAAAAATAAAATAAGTTAAATTTTAAAACATGCATAAAGTGTCTGCTGCTCTCCGCTGAGCACTAATCTAGGTGCATAGGGAGAGACTCAGGTCAGAGAAGCTGAGTAATTTGTTTAAATTCACAAAACCAGTAAGTGGTGGAGCTAGGATTCAGTCCGAAAATTCAGGCTCAGGCCACTACCCCATGTGGTTACATCTGTAACTATGTTTGCTTTTCAATATGGCTCCTAATTAAACCAACCTAACCATAAATAAGAAGGAACTATATGAGCCCTTATTCTATACCCAGCAAAGTTGTATATACTTATAAAGTAGATATTACACCCTTTAATGCCAAGAACCATCTTATGAAGAAGGTAGAGGTGTAATTATTCCCATTTTACAGATGAGAAAAGAAAGCTTAAAGAACTTGTCCAAAGTTGTGCGGCAAGAAGAGCTGGGCTTGCCTCGGGTAGAGCTGGTAGAATCACAGCCACTTGGTCATGGTGTTTTCGCATTGCCTACAGGGGCTTTCTTTCATGAAGAAGTTTTACTGTATGCTGAGTGGCAAAAAGGGTTTCTTTTAAAGGTAAAGTCACAATGACTTTTCATTCCTTCTCATTCTTCCCTGCTGGCTTTGGCTGGAGGGGAACAAATGCTCCTCTGGCCTCCATCAGTTTATGCCTTTTTCAGTACATTCTTCTTTCATCACTGATGTTTTCCTGCCTCACTCCATGTTTGGCAAATTATAGACACAAAGTGAATGGCAAGGCTGCAGAAGTGCAAGGAAGTGTAAGGGCACCTGCTGTGCCGGCCCAAGGCTGCACTCTGCAGAGGAGAAGAGTGCAGGGCTGCTTTGTGATGGGGACTCACATTTCTCATAAAGGTGATTTAATTACCCCATTGCCGGCTTCTATAACTTTCCATAATCGCTGTCATGGGATTGGGAAAGGCAAATATGGTTTGCCTTTCAGCTCTAGTCTCTCCTGCTTCCCCAGGGAAAGGAAATTGTGAAGGACACTGAGGGCAATCCTGGAACAACAGGGCCACAGTAGGAGCACCCAAGCAGAAACCACTGCAGGGCAGGGAAGGCAAATGCCTCCTGCAGCCATGTCACAAGCCAGCTCCTGCCGGGTTCCCAGATTCCTCTCCTGAGAGTCCAGCCTGCAGAGTTGGCAGCACTGGCTACAGTGAGGCAATGGCCACACTGAGGGACTCGCTGGTAGCAAACCAGAGGATGCACTGTGATCTTCCACAGAGTGGCCCTGCTCACTCGGGGGCCTGACATGTCCTCCACCCTCTGTCCCCTTGGGAATGCCCTCTTGTCTTTGAGATTCGGATGCTCCTATCTCCCCCAAAAAGGGGTCACTCCTCACCCCCATCCCCAGTACTTTGATTAAACCTCTCCACAGATCTCCCATTACATATTTATGTTATTGCCCAATTTGCCATCGACTCACCCCTAGAACTGTCAGGAGTGAGGAGACTGGCCTAGGCTGGCCCACCAACCTTCCCCGCCCCAGGGAAGCCATTCTCTTCCCTGTCAGAATACTGCCAGCATGTGAAGTCCTAATAGATGAGTTGAACTAATCCTACTGATGACTTTGCCCCAGAAAGTTCCCTTTTGGGGTAACAAGCCAGGTAAAATGCATACTTCTTAGTGAAAGAGAATGGATGTAGAGCAGCGGTTCTCAACCTGTGGGTCGTGACTCCTTTGTAACAATGAAAATACATCACGGCATTAGGAAGGTTGAGGACCACTGATGTAGAGGAATGTGGGTGACTATAAAACGTCACCAAAACCAAAGAATTTAATAGGTGGTAAAACAAATACTTGTACAGAAATATTCCTCATGGCACTATTCACAGAATCAGAACAGCCAAAGTAGAAACAACTCAAGTGTACTCAACAGATGAGAAGAGGGACAAAATGCAGAGACCATAAAAAGGGAATGAAATACTGAAACATGCAGCGGTGTGGAAGAACCTCAGAAACACTGTGGCAAGTGAAAAGAGCTGGAGACAAAAGACTACATATTGTCTGACTCCATTTACATAAAATATTTAGGAAAGGTAAATCCACAGACACAGAAAGCAGACTAGTGGTTGCCAAGAGCTGGGAGCAGAGGAATAGGAAGTAGCTGAGCAACGAACTTAATTGTGGAATATTTATAGTTATATGGATATGGTGGTTGTACAACATTGTGAACACACTATCAGGATATCCAAC